TCAGCGTTAGCTGCCCTGAAGCTACGAGGATGCGTGGAATCCGTTATGGATTAAGTCCATGTTAATTAATTAATATAGTCAATAGAAAAAAAAAAAGAATCAAAATAAACAAATACCTAATCATTTTTAATAACTTTCATATTAAAAACATAACTAAAATGGAAAAGGGTTAAGCTTGCAATTAGCAAAGGACACCTTGATGGTCACCATCGTCTCAAATGCTATGTAAGAAATACTACATTAACGCTAAAGGATTCTTCTGGGAGGATTCTTCCCAGAGGAGTTCTGGGCTCTGTTGTGACACGAATACACAGTTGAGACACAGCTCGAAATGCTTTGTGAATGGGTGTGTGTGTGAAGGTCATGGACAGATATCTCCACCATGTGTCTGTGACATAGTTTTAACAGTTGCGCTCATATTCCTTTCAGAGGAGCAAGAAAAATATTTTTACAGATCTCCAAATCTATCGACTCGACTAAGTTATATAATTAAAGCGTGTTATTGAAAATCTTTACCTTCCCTGCAGAATCTGCAGCAGCTCGGCGTTGCAAGAGAAGTTTTGCCACGTCCAGGCTTCCATACTTGGCCGCTACGTGCAGGGGAGTGAAACCCTTCTGAAAATTGGAAGAACAAGAGTAAAATTCAGCATTTATTTCTGTGACTCCTAACAAGATCTTTTTTATGTGTTAACATATTAAGAAAATGATGCTAATTCTCCTTTTGGAAAAAATACCAGTAGCATTAAATCTGTTAGCCATAAACAAGGACTAGGAAGGATAAAGAATGGAATTTAATATTAAGAAGAAGTTTGGCTTGATAAACTGAATAAAAGACATTTTATTTTAAGGGAGTGGAGACTGAAATCTGACTTTATAGGTTTGAAATTTTTAAAAGTCACTAGTGTCAATAAAGTGGCTCCAATTTGTGAATGGAAAAAAAAGCCTGTCTTTTTATTGCCTCTAAAATTAATAGGATTGAGACAACAGCTGCCTTCTCTCCAACCCTCCTATTTCTTTCAATCCTTTCTGTATCACCTGAACACCGAATTTCTTTAAATCTTAAAATGTTTTGATAGTTGTGGTAAAAAAAAATTATATGTGATTTAGTTGACTTATATTTTCTGCAAAAATGGCACGATACATGGTCTACAGAACAAAAAAAAGCTATTAAAAAGCCACTCCCATTCTGACTGTTGTCCCTTTTCCCAGAAGATTCACACTGCGTAAAAGACCAATTCCTTTTGTAAAATACATTCTCTTTCTGGCTTGATGTTGGGTTAATTAACACCAGACTTTTAAACACAGGGAAGCTTTAAAACTTTTTCTTAAAAGACTGCTCTGCTACACATGTTTACCAGGGCTGTCCAGAAAGTATCCAGCCATTGTGCCCATGTATCCGCTATATCCATGGCTGGATACTTTCCGGACAGCAATGTCTTGTGTGCCTTACCAATGGCCACACTCTGTAATTAGCAGTGTGTGATAAATACAGATAAGTCTCTGGACTAAGATCTTGAGGATGACACAGTTCCTACCCCATGATGTCAAATCCATCCTCTTGGCCGGACAGTTCAACCACATGCTTTTCTGGCAGGACAGTGGCAGTGGGGAATTCTAACACTGAGTAGGGCATGTGAAACCCACACAGCCAACATGCCTGGATTAGGTGGTCACAGATATGGCTTATCCCTGGACCAGTTAGACCCTCATCGTAAACACAGAATGTCCCCCAGGAAGCAATATTGCCCTTTCCCGATGTCACCAAATTATTTTTAACTATGATGATGTTTCTCTTTTTGCTTCTCTTCTGAACATTCGTTACTAATAAATTCTTGAAAGAGAGTGAATCTTCTAGCTTTTGCAAATGTGGGACAAATGGAGGGAGTATTTTTTCCTTCTCGCATTAGTCCACATAAACCAACATTTGCTGATAAAGTTCTCTTCCCTTCACTCCACGCACACGATGATTGTGGTGACACTCCAGTGAAGGAGAGTTTGTTGAGACAAACCACATGGTGAGGAATAAAAAATAAACTCCTTATCCTTAAATTCCTGCTGGAGTAGTGATCCAACTACTTTACAAATTTGGAAACTCTTATTAGACAAAATTACATAGAATCCTTACTATAGAATCACAAAATCAAGATTAGAAAGCATCTCTTGAGTCATGTATCTATCTTCCTTCTTCCTCTGTGTTAATCTCACCAGGATTTCATTTACCCTCTGATATTTATAAACACTTAAATGGCTTTAATGATAATGAATCAACTCTCGTGCAGCCCTAGTTAGCTGCCCCGTCAAACTGTTCTGTTTAGTAGGTTCTATTTTATTACCCTAATTTACTAAGGATTTAGATAAATTTCTTAAATCCTAAAAAAGTCTTTGAAAGACAAAGACGTATGTTTTATTCTCTATTTCTATATTATACATATCTTAATTTTATTTATTTGATTATTTAAGACAATCACCAAGTCTCTCTTAGGTTATTATTACTATTAAATGTTTGTTGCTTAGTTTTTTTTTTTTTTTAAGAAATTTTAAAATCCTTTCAACTTTTCAGATTTCAGAATTTGAATAATTATCAATTTCTTATATCAAAATATTTTTTATAGCCACAAGCAACCAGATAAGCCATAATGGGCTGCTAAGAGGACAGATGCCACTTCACTGCTGTAGTTCATAGTTTCAAACTTCCTTCTCCCTGGATGCAGTACAAATGCCTATTCATTATGAGCAAATTAAAACGGTCTTTTTATTAATGTGAATCACTGTTACATTTCTGGGAATTATTTTGCCCTGTAAATTCACTTGTTCTAGACTTTCACTTGTCTCATTTTTCTGCTCTTCTATACTAGCTCAATTTATTTTGCTCCAATAGGTGAGTGTGTTCATTTTATTCTAAGTCATCTTCAAATAGCGAATTTCAAATAGAATGTATAAAGTGGATGAAAAATTACTCTGACCTCTCATTACAACTTTGAACATAAGTAAAATTCAGGCTGGTGTACATTCTTTGTTCAACGTCAATAACAACGAATAAAGTGTGATACTCCTGCCCAGCTCTGTTTAGATACTGTAAATAGCCAGGCACGAGTGTAGCTGATGGAGATTGGAGATTAGAATGGGAATGAGAATGCCAGAAAGGTGACGGCCCTACTACACTTGGAAAAAATGCACGGTTAGGTGAGCTTCAGTGTAGTACTACAACTCAAAGAAACACAACACTGCTGATCTAATGCAATATTCTCTTCCCCATTAGTAATACCAGTTCAATGTACTGGAGAATCTTTTTTTTTTCTCTTGAGAATACATTATAGATTTTAAGATGGAAAGGGAAGAAAAAATTGCCCTTGCTTTATGGAAATCATCTTAGTTAAAGTACCAGATACCTGTACTAGAACCAACACTGGCATTAATTAGAATGGAACTCAGGCTCTTTACTGAAGATGTTGTATGGAATCTCATAATCCCCTATGATCATCAGAGAATGAATCTGAAATATTCAGAGGAAGAAGTAAGTTAGAGGCCTCAAGGAGACCTACCCTCTTGATCCTATGTGCACTAGAGCAGAGGGCCCTGACTTAGGATTCCTCTCCGTCCGTGTTGTTGTGATGCCATTCCCCTTACCTTGGTAGCTAAGGAGTGGGCTGCTCCTGCTTCCAAGAGGACTGACGCCACATCTACCTGGCCTTCCCGGGCAGAGATGTGCAGTGGTGTGTACCCATTTGTAGTGGCCGCGTCTGGATGAGCCATATGTTGTAGAAGCAGTTGGACAATTTCTGTCTTACCCAGGCGGGAGGCAATATGCAAAGGTGTCTGTTCCTCCTACAACTCAAGTCAAGTGGAAAGTTAGTGCCAGGTAGACCAAATGTCACTGTTAATATGTTTCACTCAGATGTTTCATGACATCTTCTCAGAATCTCTAGGAACCCCTATCCAAAAGGAAATCATTGCTACTTTGACCACTGGCTTATTTTATATTTTGCTATAGAGGTATCCTGTTTAGTTACAAAATCTCCCTTAGATGTTTTAAAAAGTATGTACTTCCATGAACTTGGTCATTGTTTTCTGGGTACCCCTAAACATTTTTCAACTTATTAAGGCTTCAGTCCTCACTTATATTTAAATATTAACCAACTCACGGTTTTAAATAAGAAAGAAATCTAGTCCAAAAGTCCTAAGACCTAGATTCTCATCCAAGAGTTTCCACTTAGAGACAGGATTTATTCTGGGAACTGTATCAAGAGAAAAAGAAACAAGGATGCTGGAAAATCTTTGTTTGCACTCCATTCAGCAAGCCAAGGATACAAATGCTGGTCATTTTCTTCAAGGGGAAACTGGATAAAGAAGATATTGTAATCTGGTTTAAAAAGATATTTTTTCAGGAAACATTGCAGATGGGTCTGGGACTTGCACCCAAGACTTCAAAGATGAAGTGGGACTCTGGCAAGAAGCAAATAGGGTGAACTATTTGCCAAGTGTTTTTCATTTTAAAACAGGGGATATAGCTGGGTTTAAGGGACAGGAAGGACAAGTTCGAGGAGGCTCAAGACATCACCTGACTCTAATGTGTGGTCAGGAATAATGTTTTCAGTGTTAAAAGAACCAGGCCAAACCACTGTCTCTTGTAAAAAGAAAAGTGAGTGTAACCCTAGTGATGAAAAGCGGTATATCTTTACAATCTGCCCAAGGGCATGGCGTAACAAAAGTGAGGAAGGGAAAGCTGGGCTAGCTTCCAGGGCCAGAAATGAATGGAAAAAAGATATAATAGAGCAGGGAAGATTTGTCTGAAAAAATGCAGCATCTTAAATTTATAACAAAAAAAAAAAAAAAGAGGGAGCTATAGGAAGAGATGAAATAAAATTGTATGAATTTCAAGGTGGTGAGAAGTAAATAATAAATAATAGTAGTACAATGATTTTAGTAATAGAATTGGAATTTTATGAAAATTTGCAATTTATAACCTTTCTTCATGTATGATACAGACATGACCCAATTCTTAATACTAGAACTGGAACGAAGGCATAAAAGGCATTATTATTGGCCCATTTTCCAGATAAAGGAAGTAAAAGGAATTGAGTCCTCAAGGATTGTTCAAGGTCAGTTAACTATTAAAACAGAACTATTCAGGCACTGGATTCTAAAGACGACATTTCTTTGCCTACACTTCCTATAGAAATAGACACAGTAAGACGGCCACTGAGAAAACTGACAGGACAAAGTGATTCTCAGTAGGAAAGGAGATTGACAACACATTAGAAGATCCATCTTTCTCTGAAATACAGAAGAGAAAATAGAGCAATGGGGAGACTGAACAGTTACAAAAATAAATGGTTAGCAAAACAAAAACAATAAAAAAAAACAAACCAAGGAACTTGAGAATAGCTATGGTGCACATCTGTCGTTTCTAAGTTTCCCTTCTCAGGCCTCCACCCTACAGAATTTGACAGAGGTGGGTACCAAAGTGATGCACTCTAGAATGGGTTTCCGACGAGTAAGGGGGAGAGTTGGAACTGTCATGGCCCTTTAATCCATGGCTGAGATCTTGACCTTGGAGCTCAATGTAGTAACAGAGCATAATTTTTTACTATTTCCCCTTCAGGAAAGGGTAAATTCTAGAGCAGTGGTATTAGGTTAAGAGAGGATGTTTTCAAAACCGTGTTTGTGTGTGAGCTGGGAAACCAAGAGGTAAAACAGAGCAGATTGGTATGTGTCCATCTTTCTGCCCAATATCCCCTATACCCTTCTTCTGGGAATAGCTCTCCTTCTTTTGAGGTAAGTGGACATCCACATCCTATCCATGTGGCTCTGGAAGGGCTGCCAATCATCTTACCCCATCTCATAAATGGGCTGCATGAATGGACACGAGCTCAGAATTGATCCTATATCCTGGTCATAGTCATCAGCTCAGGGAGGGAATGTGACCAATTAGAAAACAGCGGTTCCTTTGGACGGGAGAGAGAAGGTCTCTCTTTGCATTTGAAATGAGAGGTGATGATGTCAGCAGAAAGTGTTAGAAGAAAGGTACAGAACCAGAGGAGAAATCCTTTCTTATCCTAACTCTGTGCAAGTCAGCACAATCTTGAATTTTGGGACTCTAAGCCACTCTACAACACAGGGTTGTTCTGCGTATAAAGGAAGATAATTTGTGCTTAAATGCTTTATGAATGAAAAAGCACTATACAAACGTTAACTAAATCAAAGAGTGCCAGGGAAACATTAAAGGATTAAATGAAAATCAAAAACTCATGGTGAAAGTACACCTTAAGTAGAACTCGTGAAAAGGCAAACTCTAGCTCCTTGCAGCTCAAAGTACAATCCCAAGATCATAAGCACTGACATCACCTGTGAGTTTGTTAGAAATGCAGAACTGAGGGACAATATGCATTTGAACAGGGTCCCAGGTAATTTTGACCTCCAGAGAGCACTGCTTCCTAAGACTATGGTATTAATATTTTTCCTGTTCACAACAGGAGGATGCTATGGGGAAGGAATTTCAGTTGCATCTTAGAATAGGTGGTAGAGCTGAAAAGAAAAAATAAACGAAAGATAACAAGAAATTTGCTGTTTAAATTAGGTGGAATAAAGAATTAAGAGCTACTCATTCATATATAGAGACCGCGATACTAAATGTAGTTGCAAAAGAGAAGTAAAAAGGTGGAACTAATGGAATCTATGTGTTAAACAAATAAATAAATGCCATAATATTTCGAAGGAAAGAGTCTGTAACTAGGGGGGTTTTTAGGGAAGGGGCTTCAGAGGTTCTCCAAAATGGTGTGAGGCTATAACAAAAGGTTACATCAATATAGAAAATTTGGCAGAAATACATGAAAATGCATACATTTCCAATAAACTAGAAAACATTTACATTTGAATAATAGAAAAATGTTAAAGGGTTTTATTTTAAGAGAGAAAAATGGAAAACTTTTAGTATTCAATATCAATTGCAAAAAATTGACAGGACATCAACATAATTTCTGGTAAAAATAGTTAAGTATGTGATACTCAGAGTGCATTGGTTGATCTCAGAGATATTTTTAACATAGCCGAAAGCCAGGTAACCTTAAAAGAAAACAAGAACTATGTCATGGCAGGGGAAGAATTCGGTTGAATAACAAAAGCTCTAAACATATAAAAACAGAACATGCAAATGATGATTAACAAAGAACATAAATTATGTGTACAATGGATAGAAAGACAGATTTAAAACTAAAACAACAAGAGTAGTGTCAAGGCTGCCAGTTTATCACTGGATTCTTCATGAAGGTCTGTAGAACCCATTACTAAAAACGTGCCTATTAAATTCATCGAGTCAGCAAATCTTAAGAAAGTCTGGAAAGCAGAAAATAATTTAAATAGGTCATGAGAATCCCAACGATGCTAGGGCGAAAGTTAATGGAACAACGTGGAAAAGAAAATAGAAAATACAGTGCATTGATGGAAATTACTCATGTATTCAGTGTAAAGGAAGATGAAAAAAGAAACTGGGAAGTAAAATTTGAAAAAAAAAGAAGAAGGAAAAATCAACCTGTGAAGGAATTAGAAGTGATTAGAGACAGGAAAAGTCTGATCAAGCAATCTCCAGTGCTCCAATTCTATTTTGGAATAGTGGAAATGCAGAATGTCTCAATATGTAAAATTCGAGTAAGAAGAAAATTAGATGTCATTATAAAAAGGAGGGACGTGAAATGGATGAAGGGAAAACATTATAACTTTGAGTATAATTTGCTTTTAAGTCACTAGTAAGGAATGACTGGAATTGTGATTGGTTTTGGTGGCAAGAAATCAATTGTAATATGTATAATAGTATCTATATAATATAGGTTAAATTTAAAAATTCATGAACATGAAGATATGTGAAAATGCATTACTAGGTAAAAAAAATGTTAAAATATTAGTCAATGTCATCTTTCTTAGATGCTAAATTGTACATTTTTTAAAATGTTAATGTTTCTGAAATTGGGGTGCATTTTTCATTGCGTGTATTTGCTTATACAGTGTTTCTTTTTTGCCTAAAAAACTGTTATGGGATTGATGCTTTCGCTTATAGTGCATGGCTTTTTCAAAGCGAGGAACTGAAGAATGATGCCCTCTTTTACAGACAGGACTCAGGGACTGCGGCAGACAACCCCGGGCACCAGCACCTACCCTGGCTCTGGCATCCACAAGGGCACCGTTTCTCAGGAGGCACCGGACCACTTCCACCTGCCCTGCTCGGGCTGCCATGTGCAGGGCCGTCTCCCCACGCTGCCAGGAAACAGAGATCGTTGAATCATAAATAAACCCACTGCTCCGGGTGGTAAAGTACAAAGTTGTCCCTTTTGTGAAATTCAGCCATATATCCAAGGTTTTAAGAAATCTATTACAAAGCATAATTATTTAGTCTGGAAAAATATAGTTTTGTATCTTCTCCAACTTTATAAGGATAAACAAAGGTTTATTTATTTATTTTTTTCAGTCCAGAACAAACTTGTAAATTTACCCCAAACATAAAGGATACCCTAAGGTTTAACTCCACGCTCAACCTAGCATAACGTAAATTGGTTTTGGTGATAAAGTTATCTTTTACCTTACAAACCAAAAACCTATCATCGTTGTACTTAACTATGTTGTCACAACTTGATGCCATTTCAGTGAGAAACTCTAGGTGCTGAAGATCAAGTCAATACATTGCAAAAAATCACATCACTGGTACTATACATAAATCATTTCTTTTCAAAATTCAAAATTTATATCTGAAATAAACTATTATTTTACATCTGATATGTCTTTGTAGGCAATGACGATTCATACAAGAAATCTGATTTGCCCAGGAGGTCCCTTATTTAAGGTTAATCAGCAGATTTAATTACAGACAGTTATTTGAGAGATGAGAAAAGTCATTGTCAACAGTGTCATCTTTTGAGGCCGCTGCCCTGGGCATCCCATCATTCCTCAGGTAGCTTCGTTCCTACCAGGTATGACACACTGATCAGAAAATGGTGGCTGAAGGTGCAGCATAAAGGATGAGGATAGATTAAGAGAATTTTCTCATCGAGAAGCCAGTTATTACTCTACTCCCTCTAAGAGAGAGGTTTTTAAAAATCAAGATCATTTAAAACCGTATGTATAATTGTTCTAAAGAAGGCAGTGTTTCATTCATTCAAATAATTTTACAGCTATAATAGAACAAGATATCGGAGTAAGAATTATTACAGATTGTTTTACCACAACTATTCTAGAAAATAAGACTGATTTCATCTAAGTAAAGCAAAGCATTCCAAATAAACTAAATTGATTTTAAAGTCAGTTGTGGTCATTGGATATTTCTAACAAACTCCAGTGAATAATTTCTTCTGATTCCTTGCACAACAAACCCTTAAATCTAGACACTGTAAGGTGAACTTTAATTTGGTACAAGGCTCACAGTTCATTTTCCCCAGTATTTAGAGATCCATTCCTTTTGAAGTTAAGAGAAATTCATGTCAAATGATTTGATTGTGAAAACAGTAAATTGGATGTCTAATCTAATTGGCTCTTCTTTGCTGATGACTCATTTATCCTCCAATGGCCTTATTTTGCGATGACAAATTTTGACTTTTGTCAAGTAAATGTATCTGAAGTATATGGTTTTACAAAATGACACATTATTGGAATAGCAATATTTGTCTTCAGACTTCAGATGTCTCCTTGGAGTTTGCTTCTTTGGGCAACCAGGGTTTCTATTAATAACTTGTTTTCTATATCATTTAAAACCTATCTCTAAATAGGTGAGGCTAAGATCTTCTAACTAAAATCATCCTTCTGGATCGGTGGGGGTTGGTTCCAGGCCCCCTCCTTGCCAATTCCAAAATCTGGGGGTGCTCAAATCCTTTATATAAAACAGTGTAGTATTTACATATAACCTATGAACCTCTTCCGGTACACTTTAACTCATCTTTAGATTACTTATAGCACCTACTACTATGTAAATGCTATGTAGATAGTCGTTATACTATATTTTTAAAATTTGCATTTTTTAATTGTTATATTATTATTATTTTTTAAATATTTTCAATCTGAGGTTAGTTGAGTCCACAGATGCGGAATCCACAGATATAGAACCCGTGGATACGGAGGGCAAAGGCTAAAAGGCTAGCAATTTTACTAATTTTGGTAGAAATGAAGGCAAGAATAAATTTCCTTATAAGAAATTAAGTCAAAGAAGTTCCAGGAGCTTCTACTCCGTGATGAATTTACATATTTATTTTATAAGCTAAGCTTTATCAATAAGAGGTTTTCAAAATCTAAAAAATGTTTGCAGTACTAGTCAATATTTCTAAAACCCCTATTTTATACTTAGAATAAGTTATTTTTTATGGTTTTTACACATTTGAAATAAAACCTAAACTATTAAACTTTTTATTCAAAGAAAAGTTATGTGTGTGTATATATATATGTATATACCCATTGTTTCTTCACTTTTTAATAATGATCATGTTTAATTCTTATTTAATGACTCCGGGGTAACAAACTTTCATTTGTTTAAATTGCTCTTACCTTTTTATATTTATATTACCATTGATTATACATAAGTACAAATAAGAAAATGAAGGATAGTGTGTATTGTTGTAATTAATAACTTCCATTTCTGGATGGTTGGGCGTCCCATCTTATTCAATAGCTTTGTTTTCTTTATCATAAGCTAATGGAATTTAAGGATTGGGGGAAATTTTTAAGCATAATATAAAGCATGAACTTTACCATGAATCCATTGGTTTGTTATAGGAAGATGAGAAAACTGTAATATCCTGCATTCTACTCTCAATAGTCCTAAAAGTGCTTGGTTTTCTGCTTCCATGGTTGTTGAGGAATACTTTGGATTACGGATGTATTGTAACTGGCAGTTCAGCATTCTGGGTTTCAAAGTGCATTATAAGCCTTCTGGAAAAGGAGCTTTTCAGTACAGCTTATCTGTACATGATTGAGTTATTGGAACAACTCACACTTGAGCGAATCGTCAGACAAAAACAAGACTGGCGAGAGAATGAGTATGCTCATGTCCAAAGCAGGTACTAAATAAATTTCATGCTGCTCCTCTCAGCTGTTAAAACTGACTGCTGACAGCTACATCGACTTCCACTGTGGCTGCATCGGGTTGGAAAAGCATCAAAGCACAACAAACAGCATTGCATTCAAAAATGCAACATGATTTCAGGCAACACACAAAGGCTTCAAGGGTGGGGTGATTTGCGGTCAGGAAATGGCCAGCTCTGACAAGGCAAGCAGGCAGCCAGTGTCCACACGGTTCCTTAATCAACTTGCAACGAGTTTTGGATTCAGGCGCTAGCTATATCCTTATGTTCTGAGAATACACAAGTTCACAGGCATCCCACTGTTGGAGAAAGTCAAATTCCTCTAAATGTAGGATTTCTAGATTTAGCAAATAAATATACAGGATGGCCAGTTAAATTTTAATTTCAGACCAACAATGAATAACTATTTTAGTATGTTTCAACTACTGATGGGACATGCTTATACCAAAAAAAAAATACATTGTTTATCTGAAGTTCAAATTTAACTGGGAGTCCTATATTTTATCTGGCAACCCTATCTACAGGTATCTGCTCCTGAATGACATATCTTACAAAAATAAAATGAACAAATAAAAAAATAACTAGGAAACATGATGGAGAGAAAATTATATTGGTATGTGCCTCTTAAGTATTTGTTTTGAGTGAGCCGGAGGGAAAGAGAATATACTGGACAAATGAACAGATAAAACAAAATGAAGAACTTTAGAATGACCAACAGTTGGAAATTAAAGTTTAAGATAGCAATTGCCAAATTTGGGGGTCTTTAAGAATCTGAAAGGACCTTGAAATTTTATTGCTTCAATTAATGTTTTATATATTTTATTTGAAAATCTTCATGTAGCCTCTATAGCTTTTTTTTTTTTTTTTAACAGAGGGGAGCATATTATAACTCCCATAACCATTAAAAGATTTGGGATTGGTTAGTTAAGAAGCAAATTAAGAGAGGCCGCAGAATCCTACAACCATTTTATGTGGATTATTCTTTGAAGACTGTGTAAAAATGTCTCCTAAAAAATATTAACCTAGGGAATTGCAATCAAGTACCCCACAGAATATATTGGTACATGTTATTATTATTACATGATAACATAATTTAACATAGTATCATTATTGCTTCTGTAATCCTGTAGGAATTGGGATGCAAATTCAGAACGATGGAAAAAAAAAACCAGGTGGGCATGTACACAGAGTATTTTTCTTGGAAGTTGCTGGCCTATATGTAAATCTGTTCAGGTCTTAATTTTAAAAAAGGAAGGTGGTCATCTCTTTAAAAAAAGATGATTTCTTTTAAAGTTCTAAGAAGAGATTAGAAATTAAACTCAAATGAGCACATTGTGAAATTACTCTTACGCTTAACAGAGTAAAAATTTGCAAAGTTGTAATTAGGGAAACTTATAGAAACAGACTTTAAATTCTTCAATGGTTTTATGCTCCAATTTTTAAATAATATGAAGAGAGAGTACTAAATAACATTTAAAATCAAATGAATTGATTTCCACAATGGGTTTTGCCCCACATTGGAAACTTTGGCACAGACTCGGTGTGTAAAATACAGAGAAACGAGAATTTGAGAGTGGATACAAGTAAAAAGTGAAATTAGACATCCCATTCCATAACTCATATGGAATGAGATACCAAAAATTAGCAACAATAGTCAAATCAATTGGTGTTGAAAACATGATTCGTTTGAATTATAGGCACTAACATTTACTTGGGTAGAGTCATTTCTGGAGCACATGTGAATCTCAATGTCCAGTGGCCCTTTCTGAACTATAAATACATCACTGTACCTTGTGCAAAGTTCTCCTGCTCAAGAGAAAATTTGCCTTACATGGTTTGCCATGATACAATGAGCAGACAAAGTTTAAAGGGGCAGAATCCAAAAAAAATGAGAGAAATATAAAGAAATTAGAAGTAAACATCCTAATTTAAATTAGATAGTAGAATTCCGAAATATGCAGGATTTGCTGACAGAATGCAAGCGGTCTAGAGACCAACATTCATTTCAGGATACATGGTATAAGTTTTACGTAAGAGAGGCCTTCATTCTAGCAAACAAAATCAAATCAAAAGTAAAAATCAAATTAAGGTTAGAAAATGGAAACTTCATGTAATTAAAGAAGGGAGAATTTGATATCAAGTAAAAATCCCTATTACTGATCTATCTCTGGTTAATTTTTCGATAAGACTGATTATGGTACGGATTTGATGTTTTCATGAAAATTACCTGGAGTACAATTCACTCAAGCAACTAACATGAGCCCTGAAGATTTTTTTCAACCATTCACTTTCAGAGGAACTTTGATGATGTATTTTGTTTTAATAAATGCATTTAAGATGCAAGCTCAATCCATCTGCACCAGGAAGCTTAAACTGTCTCATTCCATAGCTTCTATCTTATTTTCTAATATGTCTTGCCCTATCCAGCTTCTTTGCAGTGAAGTTCTAGCAAATTATTTCAACGCTACGTTATTATGCGGGCCCTTCTCAAAGCTGGGCTGCTCACCTCAGTGACATACACACAAACAGACGTACACACGCCCACGCGCTCCGCTCCTCTCGCTCTTTCTCCCTGTGGTTATTCTGACCCAAGCCATACTCACAATGTTAGTGACATCTGGAGAGGCTCCGTTCTGCAGCAGAAGGAGGACAATGTTCAAGTGGCCCATGAAGGCAGCCACATGTATTGGTGTGAGGCCAGACTGCGAAACAAAGCAACAGCAGTTTTACTCCTCTGCACCGGTGGGGCTTTGGGGCTTCTTGAGATAAATGAAACTTGAGTGAAGAGGACAGCGATGGGTGAGAGGGAGGGGAGGAAGGAGTCAGAGAAGGAATGCTTCGTGACAAGCTGAAACATTGTTCTACCTCTGTTATAGCTTGGATCGAAGCCCCATATTTCACCAGCAGTTCCATGACTTTGATGCGGTTTTTCTTGCAGGCAATGTGCAGTGGAGTAAAACCATTCTGTGCAAAAGACAATCGAGTTAGTTGAAAACATGCAGAAACCATTCTCACACGACTCCATGCTGACACGTGGCAGGTGATAATGCTACATCGTCACATAATGTTACCGTTTCTCCAAACCCTGCAGGTGTTGGGACTTGGAAAGACAAATGGTGGTGTGTTCCTGTAGGCACTGAACTTTGCTTATGCGTGGTGGGCCTGTGTGTAATTCAGTTTGTGTGGTTACAGAGGAAACAAAAGGGAAGAAAAATACAGGACCTACTGTTTAAAGAAGGAAAAATAGAGGAACAATTATATTTTATAATTTTTAAGATGTTTTTAGGTATATTGGTCAGCTTATGAAATGACTTGAAGATGCATTGAAAATAAATGTGTATCATTCTGGTGAAGGGCCATTTCTCAGAGCTTAAGAATCGTTCATCTATATTGCTTCAAAAATATAAGAACGTGACTTTGTTATAATAAAATCTTCAACTGTGCTGCCGTTTTCTTTAGAAAGGAGGTGTTTCAAATTACAAATCATTATTTATGTTGATAATATTTATATCCAGAAGTTATATTTTATGTTAAATTTTTATAATATATATGCCAATCAGATGAATTTTATTTTATAAAGAAATGATTATTAAGTTCCTGAATATTTTCCAGTATAGAGAATTTCTGGACTAACTGGAAGGAGAGACCTCTTAAGGGTAAAGGAATGTGGAGAAGAAGTCTTCAAGGTACTTTCTAACTTTGTACACTAGGCAAAGGAATTCCCAGGAATTGAGGAAATTAAGTAAAAATTTGTAAACTAGCCCCATGCTTACTCATTATGTATTACATGTTTTATTTTTTTATTTGAACAATGATCCCTTGTTGAGTTGTATCTATTCTGCCAGTTAACAGTTTTGCAGGTCCCAACATAGACTGGTCATCAGTCAATATTTTCATACACTAGCAGTTCTCAGGAAAGCACATGGTCTTACTTAAGCTGATGACATCTTGTTCTTCACAATGGAGTGATAGACATAATAATTTGTGAAGTCATTTCCCCTGTTTATGAGCTTATAATATGCCAGATATAAATAGCCACATGCACATGCAGCACTTAAAATATTTGCAATTATTAGACTGTGATGTTTTATAAGCTTATTGACCACTATCCAATTGAAAATTAACATTTTCAACTCCCTATGAGAAAAGGAATATCCTCACATCATTGCACATAACCCTGAAAGTGCATTCGCTTCCCAGGTGATTATTAATAGATTGATTCCAATGGAAAAATTCTGATAAAAATAATATTTAATATTTGATGATTCTAATAATAATAATAGAATATTGTTATTATTCTAATAAGAAATACTGATTGTTTAAAGACAAATTTTAACTGACACAAACCATGTAAACATATAGAAAAAAGGATTTGCTTTTAGTTTGAGAATTAGGAAACAAGAGGCACAAATTAGTGCATGCCTAATACTTCCAACGACTACTGTTAGCATATAAGTGAAGCAAGAAAGATTTATTCAACATTAGACCCTGGGAGACATGGAAGCTGTTCTAGGGACAGCCTCCTGCAGTTTTCTCTTGAGCAATTCCTGGCGTGATTTTAATAAATAAAATGCTTCCTGAAGCAGTAATACGCCAGGCACCCCTTTTCCATCAGTCTATGGCTGGGCAGTCAAGTCAATAATGAAAGTCTCTTCACAAGCTTACATTTTACACTATCTTACATAGTCAAATATATTCACAATTTTAAAATCATTTTTTTCCAAAAAGAAATTAATGAAGTTCAACTTTTTCACACCTGTATTCTAACTTTATCTGCAGGTATCTAGAAGTTATTTGATAATTTCCTACTTTTCAACTTCTATTTTCCATTTCAAATTGCTTACCGCTCCAGAGGCTTCATATCTGTTTGTAACTTGCTAGTTTCTGAAATGTTACCTTGGTATTCTCTTAACACATCCCTGCTCATCAGCATTTAATAGCAAACTATGAAGATATAAAGTAGGCAGGCAGCTTGTGGAGGGTGACAGACTTAGCAGGATTAACTACATATCTGTAACATGCATTAAGGTGGAGGCATCATTGGCCAATCAATGTGGGTCTGTTTGTCTCAATCTGTACTCAGTTAACGTGGACTGGGCCAGGTTTACCAGGGCTCTGGCGTTTGGATTGGCTCTCTTGTCCAAAAGGAGTTTGGTTACGCGGTAGTGGCCACAGTGTGCGGCAACGTGGAGGGCCGTCAGGTAGTCCAGGGTAACGTCATCCACGGGGGCCTTGTGCTGTAACAGGTGCTTCACACATTCCACGTGGTCCCCTTGTGCAGCCATGTGAAGTGGAGACAGCCCGTTCTGCACATCAAAAACAAAACAAAACCAAGTCCACATTTCTTTTCCCATTATTTTCAGGTTCCAAAACACAGCAAAGTCAATTCTTGATTTCTAGCGCAATTAGTGACAGGGGAAAAACTAATTTCCACTTAACAGCAGAATACATACCAGATTATATTTGGTGGACAAGGAAGCTAAGAGAACATTTAATTTCATAATTATGCTATCCTAGGCAAAAACGCCAATTAGTATGTCTTTTATGAACGAACACATAGTATGTATGGCAATTCAGCCTGATTTTACAATTATTAGGGCAATATTAGATATATAAAAATAAGTGATAGCTGATGTTCAAATTATTTGTATCTAATTCTATACATAGAAGTCTACATTCAATGAATCTCTCTACCAACATTTCCTTATCAATAGAGAGGGAGACAGGAGAAGGAGGAGTAAGTATGTAGATAAGGGAGGTAACTAGACTTTGATCATCTCTTAGGTCCATGTTGCTCTGAAATTCTGTGATTTCTTTTTCCTATGGTGCTATGAGACCGGAATTGGACTTGGAGAGAGCAGGCAGGTAAGGTCTAAAAGAGTGTGAGCCAAATGTGGACCATGTGCAAGGATTTCACAACTTTTAAATGTGAGGATAATCTAAATCTGTCATCATTGATACTGTCCCAAACAGCTTTAGCTGTTTAGCCTTAATTCTAGAATAAGATCAACAGCAGGAGCACAAGATAGCACGTAAAGCCCCGTTAACTATCAGTCAATAAGAATAGCAGGTCAAAATATAGAAAGAATTTGAAGGTATATAGTCAATACATCTTGTGAAAGTTGATCACAAGAATTGAGTCATTCTTGTCATACCCAACCAAAATAGAGTCAAGAAGCCAGGAGGGAAAAGCACACAGGGCACAGAACATTGCTCTAAGAATATAATTCTCTGCAAGCCTGGCTGATGAAACTGCTTGCTGTAAAACATGAAACCAGTTTTATCCGCAGTTTCTGAGATAACTTTCTACAACTCTAGGACTAATTTTACCTACCGCCATTGCCCATCAGTTCCCCAAACCCTTACTAGTGCTAATGAACTTTCTCAAAGAGCAATATGTAACATTTCTCCTTGTTCATAACCTTCCGACCTTTAACCTTCTCTTTGTTCTTTGGATACACTGAAGACCACCCGGTCTGACTGTATGCCCCAAATTGCATTTCTTCCCAAATAAAACATTAAATTTAGAAATTTGTCTCTTCATTTTTCATTTTTATGTTGATAATCTTAATGCATATACTTGTTAATTTTAATAATTTTAAATTGGTTTGATATATATTCCTATTCCTGGAACACAAATATTGAATAACTAGAAAGTGCCTGGCTGATGCTTTGATTTCAAGAAGAAGAGAGATTATCAAAAAAGTGAATTAAAGAGGCCTTTGGATCCCATCTTACCCATAATGACTCACCTTAGTCCTTGCCAGCAAGGGAGCACCCCTTTCCAACAGAAGTTCCACCACCTGGTCATGCCCACTTCTCGCAGCACAATGAAGTGGTGTCAACCCATCCTGCCAAAAAAATTAAAGAATTAGACCCAAGTTCACTTTTTTTAAAAACCAAAATTGCATCTATTGCAACCATAAAGAGGGAGTTTCTTGAGCTCAATCCTGATGACTCAATAAATAAGTAATAGAATTTCAATTAGTTAAATGACACAAAAGAAGATAAGTGAAAAAGAAAACAAGTCAGAAAGAGATCTTGACAGAGAGTGAGAGAGAGAGCAAGACAAAACATAGATGGGAGAGAGCAGGAGAGATTCCCATTCACTGGAATGAAACTGGCTTCTGGTCTTGTATTTGCATATTCAAGAAGATGGAAAAACAGAGTGTGTTGCATTTTTTGAACTTTAAAGCCCTCCTCTCCAGAGCCACTTTCAGGGATTATATTAGCTTATACCATTTTCATTTTGGTTGTTCTCCCATCCAAGTACTAACCAGGCACGACCCTGCTTAGCTTTCGAGATCAGACGAGATCAGGCACGTTCTGGGTGGTATGGCCATAGACCATTTTGGTTGTTCTAATACACTCTTAACCTAAAATTCCTTCTTAGTGTGATTTGTCAATATATGTTCTCTCTTGAATGGTCAGTACTTTCATAAATTCTCCAAAAATGATCCCTGATGCTTGTAAAAGAAAAGCATTGTTTTTTCATATTCTTTTAAAGCTTTCCACACATATATTTCAACATTTTACAAATTACATAATTATTTCCCAGAGATGCAATTTATTATTAATAAATGGGATTATACCTGAGTCAAATACAATATGGCACAATTATGTGTTATGTTCTTTATTGAACTTTCTGACCTTACTTAATGCTTCTGGGGTAGCTTCTGATTCCAGAGCAATCACCAAGTGCTCTCTGTCTTTTATATTTTATTTCTCTTTAGGGTGGCATGATAAAAAAAGCAGAGTGGCTGGGAAATACAAGGCAAAATGTAAGTAACAATAGGCAAGAAGTGAGAGAGAAAATGAAATCTCGAGTACATAAATTAAGTGGTGATTTGAGACATAGGGGAAAAAAAATAGATTGTCGCAATGAGAGATGTGGAGCAGGCGAGAAGCAATCAGAGAAAATGATGCATGAAGTGCAGTTGTGAGGATTTCGGAAGTTTACGATTTATCCAGAACTCTAATGGCCTATCTTTTGTGTCTCTGCTTCCAGGACACTCTCTCTAGGTTATGCTTTCCGCCTAATAAAAATAATTCCTCTGAATTACAACACTCTTTCTGGTCCGAGGTGCTGGAATTTCTATGTCTTCCATTTGTGCCTCCAGACTCATGCTCTACCCTCCTCTTCCCTGCTCGGTGTCCCTACAGACTGGCCACTCTAGGGGCACCGGTGGGTGGGCTGCCTTGCCCTCTGGCTTCTGGTTGGGTTTGGCCAATGGGAAGGGACTCTCTGAGGGATCTCCCAAACCTGGCTGTGGGTCTTTATCAAAGGTTACACTCCTCCCAGTGCAGCCTTTCCACAGAGTTCTCCCCTTTGAAGTTCTAGGAGCTTCCTCTACTTCTCCTCTTTTAGGTCTAGGTTGATAACGAGCTGCGCTGTTACTAACCCTGAGATACTGCACTATCCCTTGTATCTTCCCGACAGTCTATGCACAATAGTATAAATAGAACCTTTTATAATCTCTAACCAAATTATCAAATTTGAGTGTGCCATCTGTTTTTAGCTAGGGCCTTGACCAATAATGATTCCTTGCTTTATTAAATCTATTTAGCTAATATTAAGATTCTGAGTAACCAAAACTCAAAATCTTGTAGTTTTGGGTGTCTGAGAATTAACATGAAAAGACTGCCTTTCCAGAAAAAAAAAGTATTTATCTACTGTAGTTAAGATACTACATTATTTTAAAGTTTGCCAGATAGAAGCCTAAAAAATTGTGCTGGCGAAGTTATTAAAGGAATTATTACACTTTTGTATTTTGAGAGCAGTACTCTGGGGTGGAACTACAGAGCATCAGTTTCTGTATAAGTTATATAACAATTAGATAGAGCTGATTTCCAAAACATATTCTAGGTGCTTTGTCAAGATGTAGGGTTTGAGAAATCCCACATAATGAACGGAGGCATCACATGCCATGGTTCGGCCTGTGGACTCCGGAGTCACGGAGCTCTGGGGTGAACCTCAGATCAGCCACCGCGGTGACTGTTTGGGGCTCAGCTTTGTGATACATAAAATGGGGGTGATTTCTCGTACCCTACTTAACTTACAGCTTTGTTTAAAGGGGAGGGAGGGAATGCTGCCCTATATCATTTTTAGAAAAGGTAGCGTACAGTTTTCTACAAATTACATGAAATAGTCCTTGTATAATCACGTTGAAACCTCCAAAATACTCTCAGAGTAACAATAGGAACATTATGGAGAACATTTAATATGTCCACAAGAACAGCGAAGAACAATAAGTCTTAAATTGGTTCTAAATCTTGTATTTAATGACGCAATGTATCTGCTTTTATAAAAGATGTGTGAATGATGATATCCAATTCAAGTCAGCCAGCAGGCTAAATCTGACTAGATTTTGAATATCTTCTACAAAGCATAGTATCAAGTCAATGCCAAAAAATTCTTGCCAAAGTTTTACATTCCAGAACCCTCCTTGGGTTCTCTTTTTTCTGCACTAGAATCAGTTCATCCACCCTGATGTGCTGTCCACTCTGATGTGGATAATTCTGGAAAGGAGAGGTCAACGGGATGTGAGAGGGACACCATTTATCTACTGGCAACCCACAGCATTAGCTTCTTACAATCACTTCTTTCTCTAATTTTTCCTTTTCTCATTCTCTGCTTAGATCATTATTCCAGCGAGGTATCCTCAAGTCTGTATATTAACATAGGCTCTGCTAATTACCCAGCCGTGCACCCTAGATCAAGTTACATAACTCTGCTGAAATCCATTTTTCCCTTTGGTAAGTCCCATTTCTCAAATAAAGACCCCCAAATTTTCTCAGCAAGAAAATAATATATACGTCACAAGTTGTTAGGAAGATAAAATAAGGTGATATTTGCAAAGTACGTAGCAGGGTGCCCAGAACATCATAAACATATGACAGTTGGTAGTCATTATTGTTATTACTTTAATTATTACATCTAATAACAAGTTGCAAGAATGATCCCTATTTCTGACGTGTTGTTTTTTGTTCATCATCCTTTAATTTTTTTTGTATACTTTTATTGTTTGCATTGAAATATGTATTTTAATATTTTAAACATAATCTTTATATGGGGTATCCCAACATTTAAATAATAAATAAGCCTAAAAACAGAAAAGAATAATGTGCTTAATAAAGCCTGAATTAATAATTTCATTCTAACTAGCTATAAAATTTATGTTTTAACATGAAAATGAGGTTTTACAGATACCAGCAAAGGGTTCTGGTGAAAATGCCTCAGCATTTCATACTAGATCCTAGTCAGTAATGAGAACGCCAGCGAGATGCAAAATGTTTCAATGACTGTCAAAACAGTAGTGAGAGTGGGGCAGAAACTGTGGGTAAGATTTGTGTTTTAATTACCCAAAAGCCTCTATAGATCTTGCCTTTCTCCAGATAATGAAAACCTTACACATGAGAAAAATAATAATAAGATCAAGAGAAAATTCTTGACAGAATATACGAAATGTAGAATATTTGTGGTTAAATTGATTGCTAGGAGAAATTGAGAACTTTATGACAGAAAGGAAAGAATAATACTCATTTTTTAAATTCCATAGATAGAAGCTCTATTATATTATCTAAAAATGCAGTCAAAGACAAATTAAACATTTTTCTATTTTTAAATATATTTTCAAAGGGCGAAAGTATTTAAGAAGCAAACCATATTCCTTTGTTTTAGTAATCAAATATAATAGCTCCAGAATTGGCCTCCCAATTCCAGACCACAGCCCTTGATTTCCGTATTTGCCTCCTACTTAATTTTGCCTTTGGTAAGAGGGATGTAGTTCTTTCAGCTATAACCAGAATGGAAAGAACCTAACAATGCTTTTAAAATCCTACGACTTAGAGATGAGAGAGTATTTTAACTTATGGGAGGGAGGGGAAGCTCAATGCTGTCATTCACTGTTGCTCCTAATCCTGGAGTCTGCTGGAGCCAGGTGGTATGAGCTAAGGAGAGCCACCGTTGCATATCTCTTCCCAATTCTGCATTTAGTTATACCATGTTGGTAGCTCTAAATCATGGTGGAAATATTTTACACCATGGAAATCAGCAGAGGCAAAGCCACACATCAAGGTGTTTTGTTTTATTTGAGAGCCAATTATTAAACTTCTACCAGCACATTGCTAACCTAATCCCTTGGCTACTGTTGACTCGCATCTCTGTGAATCTAGAGACCTGGTCTGTCTCATTAACTGTTGTATCTTCAGTATTCATGGCACCAAGTAGCAACTCAGTAATTATTCATTTAAGGAATGAATGAACAGAATGTCCATACAATGTACATCATTAGAAAATCTATTATTTTCTTTTTAAGTCCTTGAATGAAATTCAATTTATGTTCTGTATCTAAAGGCTACCCTGGATAAAATATGGTCCAAATATTCCCTTCATAAAGGAAGAAACCACAGATTACATTTGATTGTGAACTTGCTCAAGGACAATTAACTAATTATAGAACTAGCATAAGAATTCATTTTTTCCATATTTTAGTACTCTTTTTATGAAAATACACTGTCTATTTGATGTTAGACTTTTTAATTGTATATGCAAATGTATGCAAACCATGCAAATTAGAGCATCTTTTAAAGAACTAAGCAAATATTATGATGATCAATAATAAAATCAAATGTCTCAATAATGAATGAATACTCCAGAAAAGCATTCATAAAAGCAAAGTACAAAAGACTCTGGGCAAGATAAAAATTTTTTTGCATTTATAAATTGTTTTCTTTCCACTGGTAATCTCAATTATTAGAGTCTCAATAGAAACAAAAGGGTCAATATAAGGGGAGAAATCATGTTAGTAGAGTATGCTAGATATGTAACATTATGTTAGTAATGTTAGTAATGGTGGCAATATGCAAACACTCTTTCCTTTAAGTATAAAGGACAAGGAAGTAAAGCTTGTGGCATGTTGCATACTGTTCCAAATTCTGCATACCCACAGCATAGTAAAGGAAAAAGCATGCCAGCAAAGCAAAGGGTAGAAACCATATACAACTCTGGACACCACAACTAAGACACTGGACACCACAACAAAGACCTTGACAGACACAGAAAACCACTCCAGAACTCCCACATGATGTGATCCATAGCCACCATGGACCAAATGTCTTAGAGAAATGAGATTAAGAAAGAAAGGTTTCCTAGGCGAATAAAAACCAAAATTTATCCTGGGACTGGTGTAGATTCTAGAAGCTTAAAGATGATAAGGTTTATTTAAAAAAAAAAACAAAAAAAAAAAACATTTGCTAACCTCAAGATTTGCAAAGGAACTAGATTTGATTCTGATTGCTTGGACTACGAGAACTTGATGTCCCAGAATTTAACAAAATGAAGATAAAATGCCACAAGGAATGCGTTCTATCCACCATCTTTCATAGACTTTTTACACCACATATTTCAACATTGTTATATTATAGGAATGTCTGAAGCTTTGCTGAAGGCTGTAATTAACCAAATCTACTCCAGATAGACAATATTTAAGTATTTGTTATATGTTTAAGCAAATAACTGCATACTATATAATGTCAGTAATATTATCAGAAATTTTGAGTAGCTAAGTAATTTACCCACTTTTTTAAAAAAAGGTAAATAATATAGCTAAGTGTTAATTCTCACACAACCTTATGAAGTAGGTACTATTAATAGCCTAAATTCAGAGAAGGTAAGTAAACCACCAATATCATACAACTTGGTAAATGGTAGAAGTAAGACTTGAAATCAGGCAATTTGCCTTCAGAGTCTGCACTTTCAATAGTTGCTCTCTGATGCCTGTATTATTATCTATCTACCGGGAGTACATCAAAAACTCAACATGATATTTTACTTGACAAGTTTGAAATGAATGAAGGGCACCACTTTTACCATGATGACATACATAAAGGTATAATATACTAACTCTTTAGTATAGTATAATAGTTAGTATAATATACCAACATAATAGCAAATCTCCTGCTTGGGTCAGTATCGCAAAACTACTTAAAAAGACAAATTAGGAATTTAACAGTTAGAAGCAAAGATAATTTCAATATGTATGAAAATATTTTATGTAGAAACCACACTCTCATAGCTTAATGCCTGCTAAGAAGTTTTGACTCTTGATATTTACGACTACCCAAAAGAGGGATGTGTAAGTTCAATCCTTCATCTTTGTTCCCAGAAAATCAATAAGCAAAAAACTCTTAAGTTGAAAAACACTTATCATATGGCCAGCATTCTGTTTCTCCAGGCACTTATAAGAAAATAATAATTTTACTCTATGATATGAAACCTTTAACTATTGTATTAAATTTAAATCAAATCCATGAAAACACATTACTTATCTTTACAGACTGGTGTTTTAAGGTGCCTGCTAAGAGGATTGAAAGAAATAACAATGGCAGGAAATTGAAGGAACAGACACACTTACCCTAGTTTTGGCATCAATCTGACCACCTCGATCCAGTAAGAGCTTCACCATGTTCGTGTTTCCCCTTTTGGAAGCCACATGCAGAGGAGTGATTCCATTCTACATCATGGAAAGACCAAACGAGAGCATGTTGGCTATGACAGGGCGTGATGGCGATTGCTTTGTGTTAAAGGGAACAAGGGAGGTTGTGACCTATTTGGTAATTTGATCCATAGTTTCTACAATTTTAATGTCTTCAATTTTTAAGGAACAAAGAAGCATACAAACCATAAAACACTATAGTTAGAGAATGAAAAATGGAATTGTACTGCATAACTAAGTTAGTCAATAACTACAATATATGGATTGAATGTATACATTATAGTCAAGAGACAAAGGGAACAATTTTGTGTAGCAGAAACAAAAATTCAAATTCTACCTAAGATAGAGCCCTACTGTCAAGTCTTTCTGCAACATCCACGCACTTAAAGAATCTGGAATCTTAAAGTCCCATATGCTTAAAAATAGAATACAAACATACATATCAATACTCAATGGAAAAATGATTCTTAAAAACATCTTCAGAATAATGCACTAGGATAAACAGCTTGAATATAGCACAACATAGCTTCAGTGCAGAAGACTTCTCAGGACAAAAGCACTATACATACAACTTATTTATTTTATGTGCTATCATAGGTCATCATTATGGCAGGGATACATACCTGATTTTCTGTATGTCATAAGTTTTTGAATATTCAAAGTTTTCATTCACTGATTTATAGTAAGTATACTGAGTTACATAATTTTCATGTAAGTGAATTATTTCCCATAAAAGCATACCACGAAGCATCTAACAATGTGATATCTTTTTATGTATTTCAGTAAAACTTCATATGAGCAAATTCTTCATTCGTTAAAAATTCCCTGCCAAGTTGTAATAATCATTGTAAGACATACCACTTACATATTTTGTGCTTAACATTTTAAAGGTTTATTTATTGACTTGAAGCTGCTCATTCATGATTCATAGCATGATCCTTAAATATAACTGCTCATGCTGATGTCAGAATTCATGTCCTCCTTCACTGTTGGAAATGATTCGTGTGTATGTGAATTTACAGCTTCTTATTTTCCAAGGGGGCCACAATGACCCCTTGTGATTTAAAGAGCAAAAAGGAAAATCTAATATCTCCAGCACAGATGCAGGGAAGGAAAAAGAAATGAAACCTTTATGGAAGCCACTGGTGCTCATTGTTACTTTCTTAAAATACGCATTTACTGCTATCTAGAATGAGAAACTATCTTCATCCGTACCCTGGCTGTGAAGTCCACCGCAGCGCCGCGGTTTAGAAGAAGAGTTGCCACATTGACGTTTCCGTAGTGTGCAGCTATGTGCAAAGGGGTGAAACCACTCTGTGGAAAGCAGAGAAATGATAGTCAGTAAACCTTTTACCTTTGTAAGCTGCAGTCACTGCACTGGTGAAGAAAGTTACCTGGTAACTGTCTACCTAATTTATGAGCAATAATAAATGATTTAATAAGACCTTAAGACTGAATGTTATAAGGTGGTAAATAACTAAATACATAAGGAGGTAAATAAATATTCTGCATTTATTAACAACATTACTTTTAATTACCTTAACTATTTATCTATTTATGAGATTTGTTGTTTATGCAAAACCATATTTATTGAGTTGGTTTAGCATATTAGAGAAAAACAGAATATGATTCAACAACATAAAGGTTTTGGCCACAGGATTAACATAATTTTGAATAAAAAAATGTTATTTTCAGAGAAAGATTCAAAACCAGTATATTTGTTTTGTTTTTGTTTTAAAAAAACAGCGTTGGTCAGCATTAATTTTTGGAACTATGAAAATATGTTTAAAAATTCTTACAAAGGATATAGAATTCATTCCACATCATTTACACTGTCATGATATTTCTATCTTCTTTTACAACTGTTTAGTTAGACTATGTTGTTATAATGACAAAAGAACTAAAAAACAAAAATTAAACAATATACTTGGCTTTAATATGAACATAAAATAAAGAAAAAAGTTCAGCTTAATCCAATTTTGAATGTTAATTAAATCAAATTTCATCAATAAAATAAAATGTAATTGAACCAACCAGGTTAAATCAAGTCTACGGGCATTAGAGAACTATTTATTCTCAGAATGTTGAAAAAATAAGTCTGAAGAAGAAAAGCATATTTTCTTTTATTTTTTTTTTGATGAAAATTTAGTTGGAAATTTTTGCAATTTTCACAATAGACGCTTATTATCTCTTTTCTTATTAAAGTACACAAAGATGTATTATCTGATAATTTTTCTTACTCTCCATAATATTCATTACTTAATAAAAGATTGTGGGAAAAATAGAGACTGTTGACTGGCTATCACATCCTGCAGTTTTCCGGTTATTTTGTATTGCTCTCTTTTACTTGAAATGAACCAAGATGCGCACTGTATTATTTTTGAGAGATAATTTTCTACATCGCAACTACTGTTTTTCTATTGGCTTGATATATAGGCTTTGGTGACTTTATTTTTAAAATGCCCTAAATGAGCACTCGGATACCCCAGGTAATAAAAATTTCTCTGTGCTATCGGCAACATTGACTGCAAATAAATTATAAATTCTGACTTAGCAAAACACAAAGTAAGAATAGTAAATATCAATCCAAATTCCCCCCAACTGTGGTCAGGATATTTTTATTTTGCATCACGTCATGCCCAATATCATGTCAAAATGAAGGGAAAAATCAGCCTACAATCTGGCTGTTATTTTATAAAATGTCGAATTTTGATATTTTAGGAAATAATTGACTGATTTTTTTTCATTTTTGTCTTGATGTTTCCTGTCACCCAGACATATCCTGAATGTGTGTCTGTTATTCCAGTTAAAATTTAATTTCAGAAAAACATATTGACTGTTGGTGAATCATTTTCAAATTATTGAAATATAATAACATTATTTTTCTCATTTGCAAAAATAAACTAACTTATTGTCTGACATAGCCTCATTGATCATCCATGATGATGCCTCGGGCTGCGAATCTTGGATCGACACTAGCTTGGTAGCAGCCCTCTCGAGGAATTTCTCCCTGATTAGCCTGGAGGTAGGAGGCAGAGTTCACCTTTCCACAGGATTATAGAAGGGCTTTCCTTCTTTTTACTCTATTGTCTTCAAGGAAGTATATAGAACTCAGTGCAAATCCACCCAAACTGCTGCTTTCACCAATGCTTAGAGCCATTATTGCTTTCAAAAATGTATCTTAAACAATCATCAAAAAGCATCTAAGCAATTAAAGATATTGAAATCAGTAATTAAGATAATAATTGTATGGAACTGTACAGTTCCAGTCTTGAACAATCTCACCAAGCAGTTGGGGGTTTTTGTTGGGGGGGGGGGGTCGGGGGGAGTCTCTGATCTAGGTTTGGTACACAGATATGGAAAAACCAAAGAAATGATACTAATAATTCAAGCATATTGATGTCTCAATGGGTAAATGTGTTAATAGACAAGATAATCATTTTTGAAATACCATTATTCTCAGTAAATACTAAGAATGCCCAAAGGTCCACAGCTCCCAAAATTCCACAACCCAGTGATCAAATGAGATGTTAGTCTAAAGAATCCCCTCAGCAAAGGGAAAAGCAACCTACCTAGTCACTCACCTTTGAGTAAAGGTTAATTTTTATAACATACTTTCAATAATGTTTGGGCCACTGTCTCTCTGTAGCAATGGCTAAGAAGAGACTGCTAAACACACACACACACACACACACACACACACACACACACACACACACACCCCTTGCGGAGAGGCTTCTGAACTTAATGTTTCTATTGATTGATGTGACTTATTTTGGTATGTGGAAAATATATGACTTCGTGACAAGTATTTTAAGACTTACAAGAAAAAGCAACTGCTTTGCTCATGATATGCTCAATATCATTATTGATTACATACAATGTGGTAAAGGAAAAAAGCATACAGGAAAAAAAGGGTGACTGCAATTAGATAAAAAGACAAAACATAGTGTCAGAGAAACCTCCCTAATTTTCACTTCCCTAAACTCTAACCTGAGAAATCTTATTAAGAAAATAGATTACATCTCTGCTTGGCAAAAAATTAATAGTAAAAGCTCACTGCTTAAAATATGTATCAAGGAAGAGTATTTCACGCTGTACTCTAATAAACTATTTAAATAGTTTCACTGATAAAAATAATGCTTCAAATATATGTGGCATTAAATATTTTTGAATGATCGATTTGCCTAAATTCTGGGAAAAGTTTCCAAATTAATTCCCCATTAACGGACCTTCTAATCATTAGTATGAATTAGTGAGCATTTATTCTAATTGGGCAAAAACTAAAATAAAGCAAAGCAAGATAGATTTTGGTATAACCACAATACTGTACCTCTGTCGTCCTATTCACCATCATCTGAAGCAGTGTTGTGAGAAAAAGAGGGAAGATATTACACAATGCAAAATTAGGAAACGACCTGCTCACCGAAATGGGGTCTACGGTTCCAACATGCCAAAATGCATTTTACTGAGAAAAGACGTCCCAAAACACTACACGATACAATGCTATCTTTCTAATTTTGTTTCTATTATTTATGACTGTACACAGAATAAGGAAGCAGATTTCTAAAAAGCTGAACCTCATCTTTTAAAGAAAATTATCTTACATTTCATTTTTTTTGTTGTTGTTACCGTACCCAATAAACAGTCCCGTTCTTTCTGAAATACCTCTGAAAGTAATTTATCTCTTTTCGTGACCAGAAGTAATTTTGCATTATCACCATGGCCTACTTCCTTCTCATCCCCCAGGAGGAATCTGGCAGCCGGAGAGTTCCTTTCCACAAATGCGTCCGGCTTTTACCTTTGATTGTACGTCAGCGTTGTGATCGTTCTGGAGCAGCAGTGCTGCAGATTTGGTGTCGTCTTTCCTAGCTGCAATATGCAGAGCTGGCAGCCTCACTTTCCCTTTGGTGTCATTCTCCAGGAGGATGGCCACTGCCTGGTTGTGTCCTTGCTGGAGTGCCACGGCTAGAGGAGTAAAGCCATCCTGGTAAAATAGAAGAAGAAAACATCTTCCATTATTAACGTTTAGATGCTTAGGACTGAACTCCAGGCGAATTTTTAAAAGTAATGATTAAGATTGATAAGCAAAAGCATAAAATATTACTATGAAGACTAGAAACAGATTATAATCAGTCCTTTGTCATACTGTGGATTAGTTTAATCAGACTGCTTTCCTAATTTCTATTCTACACATTTTGAAAAACATCTGCATTCCCTAACAAAGCATGCTACAGACAGAATGTGCTCAGATGTATGTTTATGATGGGAAAATAAAAATGAGAACCCACCCTAAGTAATGTCTGCTTATGTAAAGCAAAAAAGTGGGAAGGGTAGAAAGAACAGAGACAAACTCTGACTGGGAATTGAAGATATGGTAACCAAGGCAGAGAAATAAAATATTGATTGACTATGCAGGTTACTAAATATCTCTGCATTGGTTAGGGGAAGACGATAACCACCGGGTATGGAATGGTCTATTACCAATTCAGTTTTGAAAGTTTGAGAAAGAATATGATCTAAAACTCTTTGGCAAAGGCTAATTCATTAATTTTATACTTAGTTGAATTTTATATTATTTAGATCATTTAGATATAAAATTACATGTGCTAGGTAATGCAAAAAAAAGTCAGCTTTTCAGTTCTAAACTTAAAAAGAGTAAGTTTAAAAAGCAACAGCATGGATAATGTAAAGTTAGAGGAAACTTAAGGGTAGACAACTATGCTAGAAAACTTGGAAAGCTGTGTTTTCACTCAGTTCCTGAAAAGTGAGAAATAAATAGAAAAAATATAAATATTTTAGGCCCTGTTTGGGTACCAAAAAACCCTTAATCCACAAAAGTTTGAAAACAAGTTTCAAAGTTAGCAGTTTTCATTTACATAGAGCAAAGATGAGTGCAATAGGAAGGTACATTTAAAGACTACATTCTAGAGACCACAGTAATTTATCACAATCTAACTACTCAATTTTTTTCAATAATAATTTTTAAAAGGTAACTGCAGACTTTTGAGGAAAATAATTTTCCTTGGGTGTATCATGTATGTTGTACCAACAACAAGAAAAATTGAATGTTTTTCTTTTTAATAAGAATTGAATTTTAAACAGAACACATAACAGAATGGAAGAGTAAAACATGTAATGTCTTAAGATGAAAAATAGTAGCCTGAATTTAGAACTTTGGCACAAAGTAAATGTTCTGTGAATGGGGAAAGCACAGACTCATTACCATATACATATTTAAATTTATTACCTCCTGCAACACTGTGATAGTTTATATTTAAAAAGTAGGAACTTAATTTTGTTCTTAGAGATGAGGCATTTGCTTATAGAACAGAACCTCATTAAAAAGTTTATAGCTTTCAATTTTGAAAACATCTAGGAAGAAGGAAGATAGAAAAGAAATACTGTATAAAAATGATAGTGGAGGCATAGAGAACTCTTTTCAGAAAATTAACTTTGGGTCTCCATCGCATGGATTTCATTCTAATCTAGACTTCATGCAAGAGGCCTAAATATTTGGAAAGGCTTGTTCAAGCACCTCAACTAACTCTATGAAAAGGAAACCCATATGACAGTTAAGTAGCTTCGTTTTTCATCATTTATTTACCAGAGCTAATTGCTATAACTATAGGAAATTTAAAAAATTTAAATATTTCTTCTCAAACATGAATTTCATTGTCATAGTAAATAATATCATAATTATCTGATTGTTAAAGTGGTCATAATATCTTGATTAGTAATTCATTTTTGCAAATTAGGGCTACCAACCCAGTTCAGGGTAAGTTTAGGCATGTTCACACATGTGCACATGAGACTGTAGAAGGTATTTATCAAAGCAACACAGATATAATACCAAGTGGCAATCAACCATCTAGCCCTGTAAAGACTTCTTTTTTTTTTTAACAGAATGATACACTAAAAGGGAAGGTATAAAAGTTTGCCCATAGGTGTGTCTCTTGGTAACTACTAGAGCTGGTGGTGAGGGTTTAATCAATTAAGTTTATAATAAGTTTATATATATATATGTTTATATATATATATCTCCAATCATGAAAAATTAATTTTAGTTATTTAAATGATTTTTTGAAATGAAACAAAGAACAGGTATATTATGTACCTAAGCTTGGATTCAAAATCTCACATGATTATTGTGAAAAAGCCACATATCTGCATGGAAATCAGAGAGGGTTTTAATTTGCTGAGGATCACAGTGTAAATGGCCTGTACAGATGCAATGTACATAGAAGGGTATTTTTGGAACCAAATGGAAATGCCACAGAGGTCTAGACAGAAAGAGCCATGAGACAGCTGAGAATGCCAGCAAGTTGAGTTTTCCTAAATCATACACCAGAAACATTAAATCTATTTGGTGAGTAGAAGAACTCTGGGATAAAGATTTCATCTGATGAATGATTATGCCTTAAAGTAAATAAAATATAACAAATATAGGTTTCCTTATTTTGGTATATTTTTCAGAGGCCTTGAAGCAAAGATAGAGTGTTGAATTGTTACCCGAGCTTTGCCTGAAGATATTCATGTGCTACTCATGAAAAGAATGAGTGTCTCAGGAAAAAAAGGCCCCAAAATCATAAAAATCACACGTGACCCATGTGGCAAGAGTGTAAAATCTGTATGTGCTGAACAGAGAGCTTGAAATCGTTTCATATTGGGCAGTTGTGTTTCTAGTCACAGGAAGGAGACAAGGTCTCATTAATCATGATTTCTTCGGATTTTTTTTTTTTTAACTAGTGAAAATAAGCTGTCAGAAAGTTATTGCAATTGGCTCCATAAAAAGTTCTCTCCCAAAGGGACTAGAAAGGAATTTAATAGATTTGAATGACCTCTCTCTCCAATGCAGCATAGAAGGGAGTTCATGTTTATTTTGCCTAAAGACATAACTGTCCAGAATGGAGCCATTATTAAGCATTAAAAATTACCAAGATAGTTCTGGGTTAAAAGCATCTACTCATCATCTTTCACTTCAGGTCAGGAATTTGAAGATTTTGTGATTTCTATTCAGTTGTTGCCATAATCAGTCACACAACTATGTGTCATCAATTGTGCTTCAATATGAACAGCTTTTTGAGTGACATATTCCCCTTGAAATTGTGCTAACATACATAATTATGAATTCTTTCTGATGGTTAAAAATTGTTCCTTGTATTGGATCCTAACAAAGCTAAAATATTGATGAAAAGGGATGTGTAGAATTTACTGTAATCTAATTTTTGAATGGTATAAAGTTCCCCAAAGGCCTAGAGTATGGCAAATTGATGGAAGTATGTTTCATGTACAAATAAATTGACATGAATCCAAACTGAAGGCATAAGCTCATGAAACTGTGTGCACAGGCCTGGGTCATTCATTCATGGCACCGTAGTAAATTATATTAGTAACATGAACATCCCTGGCATATTTTAGACAGAACAATGGCTATCCACTGTGGCTGGATATGAAGAGTATAGACATTAAGATCAAAGAACTCAAGAGTTTAGGGCTGACAGTCTCACCTCTGTGGCGGTGCTCTGGTTTGCTCCATTTTCCAGCAAATATTTCACAACATCGATGTGGTTCTCTTGGGCAGCCATGTATAAAGGAGTGAAGCCATTCTGAGGACAAACAATAAAAAAAAGACATTTTCAACCATTTGTCAAAGTTCAAATCAAAGAAGAAGGCAACACAAGGAAAGGGCAAATAAATAAACCTTTGAAATGGTGAAGCTATATAACATTCCTTCACACTGAAGAAATCATACACATATTTACTGTTGTAAAACTAGACAAAATTTCAGTGAACTAAGTTCCACATACAGTTTCTAAAGGAGTAAGGAGAAAGCATTAGAGAAGAAATATTTCCCTCATTTCCCATCTTCATTTTAGTACCGAAGACACACATTCCTCATCACCTAACACTGTGTTAAACTAAAAATATCTTCATTTCTTTAGTGCATTTGGTATTTCAATACTTATAGAGTTCTATAACATAGAATTCTCATAATATATAGCATCTATATAAAATAGTATCTGTATAATATCTTCCATATTGTTCAATTAATAAACTATTTAAATAGGCCATGATTGTCTTGAATACACACAGTTCAGTTAACATCCTTAGTGGTATAAACTATTACTTATACCAGAATAGGCTAGGAGAGACGGCAGGTTTCAAAATTAAAAAGTCTGTATTTCAATGTTCTGATTGAAGCAGTATGGTTTATACTGAACATCTTTGTATTACTTTTTAGAGGCCATTTTGAAATTTTATCATTCATTCTCACATTCATTTACTCAACTATTTACTAAAATTCAGCCCCTGGTAGCTGGGCCGTCACTGAGATACAGAGATAAATAAAACAGACACCCTCATGGAGCACACACTGTGGTAATAGTATAACATTATTATGTAGTCGTAGATTTTAAAAATCACCGATATTTGACAACATAAGTTTAAAACTAAATTTAAATTGGCAAATTTTCTTTTCATCAGATCCTCAGGAATATGTAAAGCCCCGTTAAGAAAAAAAAAAAACACAAAACTTTATGAAAAAAAAACCTGTGAAACAATTCATAAACTCACAAAACCTAACAATTCTCTCAAAACCTTGCCAAAGTCTTAAACGTAGATGATTCCCTTAAACTTTCCATGTATTAAATGAGAATAAGTAAAAACATAGATGGAGTCCAGGGATTTTTAAAAGAGGAGAAAAATAGTTTTTAAAAATACTTTTCGAAATAAAAATTCTTCTGTATACATAGTATGCGAGTGGAAACATTACTCAAAATGGCCAAGATCCAGCAAAATATAAATACAGAATATACAAGTAGAACAAGTAAAGTAATTTTAAATTAGATTATAAAAAAAAAAAATCTGTGGGCTTCAAATGGTGGAGGAAAATTTAGAACTAAAAAAGAATTATAAGATGAATAAATTAACCATGTTGTAGGATGCGGGAATAGCTTGCTAGCTGGAAAGCATATTTTCAAAGACACAGTAAGCAGGTGAAATCTTCTGTATTTTAAGAACACTGAAGAGGTGGCGGAAGGATAGAATTAGAGATTCAAAGGAAGGGAGAGCCAGTGAGGATGGTTAAAAACAATGAGTGGGTGTGGAATGGGGCTCTTTCATGGCAAGTAAAAGGCAGGAATGCAAATAAGAGAAGAAGAACTTTTAATAGAGTAAAACAATTTTCTAACATGCTTTCCTCCAATATGATCTTGTAGCTAGATCAAGAGAAACAGACGTTACCAATCATCAGGGAAAAGGAGATGGACCATCCTCAGGCCCTACTAAGAAAGGTCCCTGCCCTGGGTCTCGAGCCTTCGAGGGACCTCCTCTGACTGCGCAGGGCAGGGTATCGTGAGGACAAAGGGGACATGCCCCCCATGACCCCATGGCTCCAGATTTTCAGGCTTCCACCAGGCACCTGGCTGCCCAGAATCCCTGAGTGTTTCCAAGTGGTATGCACACCCTTTGGTAGGCCGAATAATGGCCCCCAAATAAATATGGCATCCTAATCTCTGGAACCTGGAAATATTATCTCATGGCGAAAGTAACTTCGTATGTGTGATTAAGTTAAAGAACTCCAGATGCGGAGATTATCGTGGATTATCCAAGCAGGCTTGATGGAATCACAAGGGTCTTTGTAAGAGGAGGCAGGAAGTCAGGGAAGAGAGAAGATGTTACACTCCTGGCTTTATGACAGCTTTAGAAGTTGGAAAAGGCAAGGAAAGGGATTTTTACCTAGACCCTCCAGAAGGAAACCGCAATGCCAACACCTTGCTTTCAGCCCTATAAGACTAATTTTCAAAACTATAAAAAAAATTTTGTGTTGTTTTAAGCTACTGAATTTGTAGTCATTTGTTATGGTAGCAGCAGGAATATAATACACACCCTTCAAATTGTTGGCTAGGGAGGGTAGAAGTAGGAGAGCTTAAATATGTGCAGGTTGGGGTATCCCCATCTGGGATGGGAGGAAAGGAGGGGCTAGCTATAGGCCAGGACCCAGGAGTGGCAGCCCCCCAACACAGTCCTGTGGGGAACTCTAAGGATTCCAGGACGTCTGAATTTGGACCTGTCATGATATACTTGACAAGGCAGGAGATACTTATTTAACTATATATATATATATATATATATATATATATATATTGTAAGGGAGCCTCTTTTGCACTCTTCTCCTGGGACCTGCAAGTGTTAGAGTTAGGTTAAAGTGGTAGAGAAGAAAAAAAGGGAAAAATCTCCAGGCTTATAACACACAGTATACAAGAGAGAAAGGGCAGGGAGACATTCATGATGTTGGTTCAAGTGCATCATGAACGCCATCTGTGTGCCTTATGCCATAACTTTGCTGTGCCAGGGCTTCCAGTAGAGTAGAGGGGCAAATATGAAGAACAATACAAATAAAAATTATTTATTCAACTTCTTTCTGCTATATGTTCTCCACTGTGGTAAATGCTTTGAATATGTCTCCTCAAATTATAGTGACCGCATGTTCTGGTTTGTCTGGGACTGCCCGAGTTTATGCATAGTATCCTGGAGTAATTATTAATAGTGTCTTGGTTTGAATGATAAATGACCTAATACTGTCTCTAAATACTTAGAGTGGTGCCGTAACATCAGTATTGACATACCCATTCTGACTGAGGCAGTTGAGGCTAAAATACTTAGGCAACTTGGCCGAAGTCTCACAGCTAGTAAGTGAACTGGGAGTGACAGATAGATGTCAGGTCACGAGTAGCCTTCTTCCCTGTAACGGTGTTGGGACTCTATTCTGCAGATGAGCAGTCCTCAGCCTTGCTGTGTGATAGAATTTCCTCCAGAAACTGTTAAGATCCCTGGGTGCCACGCTACCATCTTGTCCCTACTGAACTGGAGTCTCCATGTATGAAGCTCAAGCACGTGCATTTTTTTTTAAAGCTCATTTTTTGAAATTGCCTTAAGAAGTTTGTTATAGGTGATACAGAAAAGTTGAATGGTTTTGTGTAGAGAGTAACATAATCATGCTCACATTTCAGAAAGTTAACTCTGATGATAACGGATGCTTTGGTTTGGGGTGGTAGGAGACGAGTGGAAGTAGGGCATCGATCAGCTTTTGCAGTATTTGCAAGAGTGCACATAAAAGATGAGGGAAGCTTGAGCTAAAGCAACTCCTTGGTTAGAAGATGCAGAATACTGTTACAAAATGGGTGAAGTAAGGCAATAAAGATTTACTACGGGTCCTAAAGATGTGGAAATTATTCTTTCTTAACTTACTGCTATTTAACAAGAAGAAGCCCACTGGAGAATGTGTAAGTACAGCATTGTATCGGTTGTCACAGTAGTTCCAATGTGACAAATAGGTGCTTCTAGCAACTGGTTATTAAATATTTTGAACATTATCCCAGTGTATTGGTAATTATTATTTGCCCTTCATTTACCTTTACTCAACAAAAATGTGTTTGTTGACTTTTCACCAGCTGGGCATTGTGTTCAACTTTAGTTTTTCAGAGACAAAAGACAAGGTTCCTGTTTTAAGAACTCGCAGTTCAGAGGGCGAGATGGACAAGTTAGCAAACTACTGCATTACAGCTCAGTGAACATACACCACACCTGTCCAGAAAGTATCCAGCCATGTAATGTGAAAAATAGAGACATTTACGGAAGAAGATACAAGATACAAGAAACGTTGTACATAGGACAATGACAACTCAGTCCCCTTCAAAGGAGGCACCTTGGGACTTCATACAGTTCTCCCAGCATCTCTTAACCTAACCCGTAAACGTTCGATATTCTCAGGTGTTCTGCTTGTTGCAGGCCTTCCAGAATGTGGATCATTTCCAACTGATTCTCGACCATCTCTGAAGCATTTGAGCCACATTTTTATTTGTGCTGCACTCATTGCATCATCCCCAAAAGGCTCGTGAATCATCCGAATTGTTTCCGCGGAGGAATGCTCAAGCTTAATGCAAAATTTGATGCATGTCCATTGCTCTACTCGCTTAGTCATTTAGAATGAGTCGGCCACACAGCACACACGCTCACTCAATGGCGGCCAGTGCCCCACTGACTAGTACCGTGAAGGCATCATTGTTCACCCATGCTCATCCCAGTCCACTCTCCTTGGCTGCCGCGTTATGTCCATGTTGCACAAATCGCTCTCATCATATTAACAATGGCTGGGTACTTTCTGGACAGACCTCATATGTAATTAGGTTTTTTTTTTTTTAATTATGTGTTGCATATAAAGAGAACATAGATGAAGGACACAGAACTCAACTGGATAAGGAAATTATATCTGAAGGAAGACACTGGGGGTGACAGTTGGAAGACACTGAAGTTAGACACAGAAGCAGAAGAGGTATTTCAAAAACAGAGGAAACACCACGAGATGAGAAAACACAAGACACGTGGGGACTTGCCAAGAATTCACTGTTCATGTGGAGAGGAGGCTGAAGATAGGGCAGGACCAGCCCCTGTCTGCCTTGCTGAATTTTATCCTGAAAGCCTTCGGAGTTATCTGTTTTTTAAATGGGTTAGACATGGACACATTTGCATTTTAAAGATATTACTTTGCCAGGAATGGGGAGGATGAATTGGAAAATGTCTAGATTACAGTGCAGAAGACTAGAAA